GGTAGTGACTGAAGGGCGTGTCCTGTCATCTCATTACAACCTCCTGCCGCCAGTACAACATTGCCAGGTGCAGAAACTTCAAGCCCTATCTAAGATGTTACCTGATGAGCTTTTGGGAGCACAGCAATTGTCATCATCCCTGAGGAAGACAGTTCAGATTTTTAACTGCTAAATGTATTAGGCCCTAGGTATTTTGTTGACGTTAACATTTGCTGCCAACATCTAATGCCACATCTTGTTTACAGCCCATAAATTTATGACATAAGGAGACCACTCAGAATTTTGATATATTTTGAAAAAAGCGCCAAGCAATGCCAAACGCACGGCTGGTTTTACATTTCAGACAGATACTTTTACACACTGTTGATTGCATTTTAATATAACAGGGGTTTCATTTTGTTCTGCTGATGGATTCTGATCAGCTCTTGGCACTTAGGAACAGAGAAGCAAGTGTGCAGATATGGGAAAATAAAAGTTTTATTAAGGAAAGCATGAGCCAAACAGGTATTTCATTTCTGTCTTCACTGTCACCTTAAATGATTATAGAAACAGAAACGGCCGGGTCTTTGCTCTCTTCTAACAGGCACTCCCCCTAAGTGGCAAATACTAAACCATATCTTCTCTTAATCAGGATTTCTTTCTGTGTATCCCTGGATCAAAACATATTTTATTGAACGAACAAACAAAATGACATGAAAGAAATCCTTCATTTTACAGTAGCTAGTTGCACTTAATATGTAACACTACACAACTATAAGTAGGTGTGTAGTATCTCCTGCTACTTGGGTAAGTTGGAAGGATGGAATTCTTGACTCTTGGCCTTCATAGCTTAGAATCAGATCTTGACCTCTGTGATGGTTTGAATGAAAATGTTCCCCATAGGCTCTAAGTATTTGGACATTTTGTCCCCAGATGATGGTGCTGTTTTGGGGAGGTTTTAGAAGGTGTGGCTACCCTGGAGGAAGCATGTCACTGGGGGTGGGCTTAGAGAATTCTTAAGCCTTGCTGGAGCTCCAGTTGCTCTCTTGCTTCCTGTGCCTGGGTGATGATTGTGAGAGCTTAGCTTCTGCTGTGCCTGCGCCAGCCACCTCCAGCCACCATGCCTCCCTGCCATAATGGACTGTAATTCCCCTGAAACCATAAGCTCAAATAAATTTTTCCTTGTATAAATTGCTTGGGTCAGTGTTTCTATCACAGCACAACCTCAGTTGAGTTACTTCATAGGCCTCCTGTTATCTTGATGACCTTTCAGGTTCAATGGGTATGGTGGTCCCAATACTTACTTGAAAGAAAAAAATTATAAGCCTCTGTTTTAGTTTGCTTTCTGTTGCTGTTATAAAACACTGTCCAAAACCAACTTGGGGAGGAAAAGGTTTATTTCATCTTACAACTCCCAGGTCACTATCCATCACTGAGGGAAGTCAGGGCAGGAACTCAAGGCAGGAACCTGGAGGCAGGGATTGAAGCAGAGACCATGGAGGAGTGCTGCTCACTGGGCTTGCTTCCCTCTGGCTTGCTCAGCTATTTGTCTTATATAGCCCAGGTCTACCTGCCCAGAGATGGTACCACCCACTGTGAACTGGGCCCTCCTGCATCAATTAGCAATCAAGAAAATTACCCCATAGATATGTCTGTAGGTCAGGTTGATGGAAGAAAGTCTTCATTTGAGGTTTCCTCTTCTCAGGTGACTCTAGTTTGTGTCAAGTTGACAAAGAGCTAACCAGCACTGCCTCCTACTGTCATCTGGAGACCTGCAAATCACTGACATGTTGGAGACTTAATATCATCTTGTCACCTACCTTGTGATTCCAGACATGGGGGAATGAAGAGAGTCTGTTTCTCATTTCTTTTCGCTTATGCTAACTGGGCAGTGACCCTACTTGTCCTTCCCACCTGGACATCGAAGCCCCCCAAGACATATTCATCTTTCCTTTAACAGACTCAGAGTCCCTGATACATACTCTTCGCAGTGCATGGCATGAGAGGAGGCCCTTCCCAGGCCTGCCCAGCTGTTTGTCAACCTTCCTCTTCCATTCCCTCTCTAGCCCTCTAATCTAAGCTTGTGGGGCACTGTGCTGTCTGCTCAACGCACCAGCTGCTTCACAGTTTGCCTGCCTTAGCTCACACACCTGACTGTAGGGTGCCCTCCCCCTAACACATACCTCTCCAGCTGGGCATTATCTGTCAACTGCCAAGGACTTGGCTTGTTCTTCCCTGTCAACCCCAAGCAGGCATAGGAACTCCTTGTGTATGCTCATGCCCTTTCTTACACTGGCAGATGGCGTGCTCATGCTGTTGTCTATATCTGTCATCTTCAATGGGTAATGAATCTTGTCTTACTCATCTTTTGCATTTGATTTGTAACAATCGGGTGGGGACAGTAGACTAGAACATGGGCGTTTGCATCGAAAGAGCCCATTTGGAAATCTAAAATTTCCTGCTGACTAGATCAGTGAGCTTGGGTAAGGTGTTTTGCTTTTCTTTGTCTCTTTAAGAGACAGAGTTTGAGGATACAGATTACGCCTGGAATATTGTGAGTCACACGCAAGCCTGTGCAGCAAAAGTGGCTTTGATTGAAGGAATTTTCCTTTCATAACTTAACAGCCCTTTCCCTCATCATCCCTACAGTGTCCAGTTAACCTCCGGTTAACCTCGACTCAGGTGCGAGCTCTCTGAGAAAGTGTCCCTGATGTCTCTGATCAGAGATGGCATTTTCTTTGACCTTCTATCATATCAACTCACTGTCTCCATGAGATAAAGGATACTGGGGGACTGGAAAAATAGCTCAATGAGTAAAGTGTTTGCTCTGCAAGCATGAGGGCTTGAGTTTAGCTGTCAGCACCCATGTAAAAAGCTGGGCATGGTGGCATGAATGTGTAAGCCCAGTGCTGAGGAGGTACAGACAGTTGGCTTCCTGGGTCTTACTGACCAGCCAGCATAGCCAAATTGCTGAAACCCAGGTCCCAGTGAGAGTCTCTGTTTTTTTCCTTTAAAACCAAAAATAATATGGTTCCTTAAGAACATCTGCGGTTGACCTCTGGCCTCCACATGTATGTGCACTCATGTGCACCTGCACACATGTAAACCTGTGTGCACCTGTACACATTTGGATATATATATATATA